TGTCATGTTTCATCTTATATTTTATGGAACACAACTGCAAAGGAAAGCAAATACCATTTGACATTTAAAAAATGTCATCTAGAAACTATAAATATAGTTACTAAAAAAAAGTAATCTGTCCCTCAAGAAACAGATAAACTGGACCTATGAAATGTATAATAAAGTTTTCATGTGTTTTGGCTGCCTAAATTTTGGCTCAAAGTACAGTGTACTGTATTATCATTCATGCAATAGACAATGAAATACACGTCACACTCCAAAATGAATGTATTATTTTCTTAGATATTATGTGATGAAAGTAACATAAAAGATGTTTGAACTACTTCTTACTCATTATGGTACAGTTGGTGAGTAAAATTCTAGAAATAACCATACTAGAAATTATTGCATGTAAGTTGGAAATTTAGGGGGAGGACAATTTTACACATCTTTATGGTCATGACAAACTGGTAGGTTTGAAACATTTACTCATCACTTTTCGTAGTTTTCAGGTGCCTACACTGAGTGCTTCCATTACTATAGAAATAAAACTATCAATGCTAAAGAACAATAAAAAAAGCACACACCATTTTAGTAATGATTTTGAAAGCATTTACCTTCACAAATAGTGAAAAGAACTTACCAACTCTATCAGGGAGGACTTCAAGCGCAGACACTCTTTCATCTTTATTAAGTTCTAGTCCATAAACACAGTCAAATCCATCGTATTTTATAAGATACAATGAAGGATTTACAGGAACCTGATCCAGAACTGTTCCCTTCCACTGTGTAATGGGTCCATTCCCTTCTTTCCAACCATGCTGAATTCTGCAGCCCACGATGTTCCGCCGGGGCTGGGAAACAGGTTTGCTGGGTCCCACACTGCTCCGATGTTTTCTGTATTCACATATATATATACATACAATGGATAATCTCAAAAGTGCATTTGTAGAAGCCACAAATCTACTAGTTAGCATTACCAAAACCAAAAATTGACTGTCACTGGGTATATTCCGACTCATAGCAACCCTATAGGACTGCCCCTACGGATTTCTGAGACTGTAAATCTTTATAAGAATAGAAAGCCTCATATTTTTCCTGCAGAGCAGCTGTGGTTTTTAAATGCTGGCTTTGAGGTTAGAAGCCCAATGTATAAACTCACTCTGACACCAGGGTTCCTCTCGCTCATTAGAGATGATCCTAAATTATATGCTAACTAATGTCTGCCATAGTCATCTTTCAGATGACTCAGATCTTTCTACTCTAGTACAACAAAAGGACTTCAAATGTGGGGGAAAGCCTTCTTTATCATCTAACTCTCCTATACTACCATATGTAGTATGACCTGTTAGCAATAGATGCCTGCTATACATCTGGACTATGTACATGTAGGAATAATCTAAGAACTACTACTTATTAGTAACTTAAGCTCTCATATTAAGCATCAGTTTTCTAAGTTTCCTTTAATTTAATCAACTCACCAGCATCCAAGTTAGTTAAAGAAAAAGGTCAATCCGTGAAATCTTTCTTTCTGTTATACATAAGATCACCGTGAGCTGGAACCAACTGAAGGGCAACTAACAAAAACATGCCTTTATATCATATGCATCCATTTCAAGTAAAAAAGAATATATATACTCAAATTGTCCCCATTCTGATGTACAAATAATTCTGTCCCCATTGACTTAAAACAGGAATAAGGTAATCATTTTTTACTACTCTGTAAACTGGGTTGGCTTAGATCTGTCTTATACCATATCAGTACTTTTCTAGCAAACATAAAAACATAAGAAATGTATGGCAAATAATGTAACATTTAAAACTACTGAAGTTACATAAAACCACACTCTTCCTTAAGATATTGGCAACTGAAAATTCTATGCATAATTGTTTAGAAATAAGACATACATTTTTGTTTCATCTAGAACTCTAATTTTGGCTTCAGTGAAATTTGAAAACCAAAACCAACATGGCAGATGATGATACAAGGAGTTTCACAGTTAATGGGACATTTTCACTATCTTTTCACTCAAGTGTTTTAAGACCTTTTGCAACCTGCACATATAGGCCAGGGTAAAAAATGTAAGACGACAAAAGAGAATTCCCTCATCAGTTTTATGAGTGTGAAGCTCCCACTTGTTACACCATGAATAAAAGTGATAATCATCCAATATGTTAAACACAAATAGAAAAACCTAAAGCAACTTATTATAGATTATAGCATTTCAAATTATAACTATACATAAGACTTGTTAAGTAAATTTAATGGGCTTGTGAAACAGAAAAAAGTTACAACAAGCTATTAAGAGCTGCCTCAATGGAGCCTTGAATGTATTAAAAAGTTTGTCATCTCCCCAATTCTCACAAAACAGAGAAATTAAGGTATCTAAGAACCACACACAGCACATCATTTCTAAAGCAACTAGGCATCAAGGGTCCTTACAAACACCAAAACACCAGCAGTTGTGATCAAGCCGCCAGCTACCTCAAGACTGTGGGTGCAGCAGTCATGTCGTAAGAGAAGTCATGCCGGAGAGAAGAAAAATGGGAGTTTCCTATAGTAACAAGACCCGGGGAGCACCAAGTCAGGAGGAAGTACTCACCCCAAAAGGAAAACATCCCCATGTGGAGTGAAAAACTCAGCAAGCAGATCTGGGAAAACCAGACAATGGGGGGAAAAAGGGGTTACAAAAGAGTAAGCTGGTAAGACCAGAAAACCCTTGGTTCACCTAAGCTCTTAGAGAGAGACAACAATTAAAGACTCCCTTACAGAGGCAGAGCCCGGAAATGAGGACACACTGCTGGAAACAAAATCCTAATGGAGCAAGGCTGGAAAGGGTAACAGAAAGAGAAGTTCAGATATTCATGGGTTGAGAAGTTCAAAAGAGGTAGATCTCAAAAAGTACTATACAATGGCTATACAAAGGCCATATTTTTAAATGTCACAGGAAAATAGAAGAGGCCATCTTTGAGCTCACAAACTAAGAAAACTACCCCTAATATGCCTGTCACTTAAAACAGAACCTCCTCTTAAAAGACAGGAAAAATTAATCCTATTGAAAAAGAGACGAGCACTCTCAATGATGAAGGGGAATGAAGGCAAACTAGGAAACGATGCCCACGGACTAGCTAAACAACAGAAAACATCATGAGGAACACAAATCAGATGACTAATACATGGAGGACAAAAATTAAGAGGAAAAAATGTTTTTAAGGATTAAGAAACAATTAGCATTGAATGTTTTCAGGAATGAAGACTAAAATAGAGGAAAATAACAAATACACCATGAGATCATACTTGGGGAAAAACATGATGAAAAGGAGACATGGGAAAAGAATGATAACGATAACATATAAAAGAAGTGATGAAAAATCTAACTCATATATAAAATATCACACTCCCTCAAACACAATCAGAAAATACTACAAACTGCAATTTTTAAAATTTTGCTAAAATAAAATATAAAATGTATATAATGTATCCCTAGAAAAAGACCCAGAAAAACTGACACTGTGTTATTCTAAAATAAAACACCTAATCTTTGAAGGGAAAATATCATCTGAATATCCAAAATATAAATAAGATTTGACAGATACTTTATGCCAGAAAAAGAGCCCTAGTGATACTGTAATTTAGGTGTTGGGCTACTAACCACAAGATCATTTTATGAGAAAAAGATGAGGCTGTCTGCCCCATAAAGACTGATCATCTTGGAAACCCAATATAGGGGTCCCTATGAGTTGCAATTGAATTGGTGGCATTGGGTTTTTTGGTCAATGTTATGACAGAAGACAAGTAAAGAAAAAATTTAAGTTTCCTGGGAGAAGATAATTGAGCCAAGAGTTTCTTAAAACCAATAAAATTTAAGAAATGTTAAGATCAAAGGGAATATTATCCTCTTAAAAGTTTCCCAGGGTTTCTAGGTCAACGAACTTCAGATAATCAAGAATAATTTGAGAGGTTTTAGCAAAGCATTGATCTGCCAAAACAAAAAGACCCTCAGTGACATCAAGTTGATTCTGACTCATAATGAACCTACTGGACAAAGGAGAATGGTCCCCTTTGGATTTCCCAATCTGTAAACCTTTATGAAAACAGAAAGCTTCATCTTTTGTCCTTTAAGCAATACAGAATATTAACTATGAAACTAAGGTAAATCGTGTTAATAAGAGATGTTATGTATCTGACATTATAGATATAGCTCAAATTTCAAATATAGGAAATATTAGCTGCTGACCAGGGAGTCAGAGATTTGAGCTTACCAATCACTCCTGAGGAAAAGAAGTGGGAGTAGCCTTCTGTAAAAGATTACAGCCTTGAAAACCCTATGGATCAGTTCTAATCTGTCATATAGATTGCTATGGGTTGGAACTGACTTGGCATTTAACAACAAGTACTTCCAAATATGTAATTAGTCCTGCTAAATACTGTGAATTAGTCCTGCTGACCCCCAGTGATACAAGGACATGTATATGACCTTTTTCTATGGTACTAGAAGGATACCACAGTAAATGAAGACTTTCTGTCTTATAAAACAGTAATCGGTTTATGGGTCAAGGCCATCCTGCTAAACCCATGAAGCAATAGAATATGCCATCAGTTTCCCATATTCAATGACAGACATGATCCCCTATGCAATAAGGTCCAAAATCATGGCTATGCAATGAAGCCAATAACATAAGGGATACAATTTGGAAGTTTTCTGGATTAATGAAAGCTTCTATTGTGAAGAGGAGCTCTGGGTATCCTCCTTGGGGACAAGAGCCTCACACTCGGGCCCCTCCCAGATCATTCCCCAGAAGTGTCTTCCTTTGTACATTTTCTTATCGTAATAAATTGCCAAGTGTACATTTAGATAAGGACCCATGGTGTGCTGTAGGAAGGTTACAACAAAGTCATCAGTTCAAATCCACCAAGGAAAAAGGATGAGACTGTCTGGTTCCCTAAGGACTGAGTCTCAGAAGCCCTATATCAAGTGGGTAGGAGCAGAAATGGACTCAACGGCAATAGGGTGGGTACATAAAATACTCTGTGAATTGAGCCATTCCAAAGAATTAAAAAACCCACTAGGGGACAGCAGGAACCAGCAGGAACTGGTGTCCGACTATTTGGCAGTTTAATGAACTTTTAATGTGTGTGCTCTGACTTACCTTGGGGTGGCTGGGCTCAGAACAGAGGGTTGATATAAGGTAGAGAAAAGCTTGTTTATTTTTGAATTTGCAACCAATACCTGCAGTCCTGGGCCCAGGTGGCTGTGGGAAGAGAAGATGGCCAGCTAGTCTAAAGTGCAGGGAATGGTGTGGACTCCATTCCTTGCAGCTGGTACCCCTTCATGTGCCCAAGATGGCTGGGAATATGGGACACTGGTGCCTGGATAAAATGGGTGAAGGTGAAGACTAACTCCACTTTCTCTGGGAATTAGATTCTTGCTAATCTATAGTAATCAAGGTAGGATTTAATCACCTTGTCCTTTCTTAGTGCAGTTAGCACACTCCTGGGTAAAAGTTGGAACGAAAGGATATTGCTTTCAGTTAGACAGGAGAAAGAAAGAAGGGGGCAGAGATGTAAATTCAATATTGCTCATGGGAAACCAACGTATATGGTTTTTAAAAAATAAAAGAATGAGCTAAATAAAACTTGAATGAGAGAAAAAAATATTTAACAGGATATATTGTACTCTGTAATCATTTTTTTATGAGCCCTGATGACATAGTGGTTACAAGTTGGGCTGTAATCCATATGGCCAGCAGTTCAAAATCATTAGCAGCTCCATGGGAGAAAGACTAGGCTTTCTACTCCTGTAAACAGTTACAGTCTCAGAAACCCACCAGGGCTGCTGAGTTAGCACTGACTTGGTTTGGCTGGTTTGCTAGTCTTTTTTACTTTGGACATGTGA